ATTATTATTATTATTATTATTATTATTATTATTATTATTATTATTATAGGCTAATATAATATATCAGTCTTGTCTTTTGCCGTTTTCATTTGAAGCGATCACGTTTTCCTTATTCTTAAAGATATGTAAATGATGAGTTGACATAAGAATTGCAGTTGTGATTACATATAAAAAGAAAGACAGGTAAAATGATAAAAACTCTTATTTCTGTCACTTTCACCTCACAGCCAGAAGGTGCAGATCTTGGTTTGCTCCTTTTTGTTGTTGTTGCATATGGTCTCTCCATGCATGTATAGATTTTCTGTGTGTTCTGGTTTTCTCTCACAGTTGTAAAACATGCATTAGGTGAATTATCAGTTGTAAACTGACTAGAGGTGTTGGGTGTCTTGTGTGTCTCATGCGTTGGCCCTGTGACACACTGACTACCTGCTTGGCGTGCTCTTTGATTGTGATAGGTGCTGGTACTAAGCAAAAAGACTGAGTTTTAGTTTGTTGTTTTAGTCATGAGAGCTCTACATATGTTCCTCCCATAACATGTAGAGCACAGAGGAGTTTTACCTAACATAAAAAAAGAGCCAAATCATCGATGCCAACATTGTTCTTTACCTACTGCGCCAAAGCCGTAATTGAGAAGAAAAATTAAAAGTGAACACGGTCCCTTGTTGTTTGCTAACAACAGGTCATTACTGGGCTTGAAATGGCAGCCTCGGACCTTAGGAATGGAAACCAAACTAAAGTGAGTTAATTGGTTTTCTTAAAGAAATAATGTTAAAGTGGAGAGAAAAATGTCAAACGAGTGGATGTATTAATTGTACTCTGCTCTTTTACAGTTTTGTATAATACTGATCCAACTGGAAAAAGAAGTTTCTCGTGGGACTTCTCTAGCTGATAATGAGGCCTTTGCTTCAGAGCTCCTAATGAACCACTGTCTCCACTTTATGGCTTGTGGTATCTGGGAAGCTATAAAGTGATCGTAATAATAAGCAAGTCTGATAATGTTGGGGAGGGGAGCACAGCGGTGGAGGGTGGGTATGATGGGTAATTATAGTTAGGAATAAATCCATTGTAGCATTACCAAAGCAAATAAGGATGGTACGTAGCATTTCAGTCATGAGTCAATGAGCAAGATGTTGTAAAATTTGACATCATGACACACATTCTCTCTTTCTTTCTCGTTCCCCGTCTTTGTGTGTGTGTTGTGGGGTGATGGTTGGTGGTGGTGGTGGTGGTGGTGGGGGGGGGGGGGTACTTGCAGCATGCCAGATGAGCTGTACATCAACAGAACGGAGTATAACATACTAAAATATTCATAACAGTTTCTGACCAGTCTGCCTGTTCAGCTGCTGAAATGGGTATCTGTACATGTATTAGGAGAAACTGCTGAGCTCTGGGCTTTGTTGTAAAAAAAAAAAATCAAACCACCTGATCCATCCATCCATCCATCCATCCATCTATATATACATCCATCCATCCATCCATCATCCATACATAAATACATCCATAAATCCATTTCCTTTACCTGGTTTCCTCACCGGGTCACAGAGAGCTGGTGCATGTCTCCAGCACTCAGTGTGCAAGACAAACTGGTCATAAGTCCATCACAGGGCCACATAGAGACAAATGAGACAAACAGCCATTAACACTCTTCTTTATCATAATTAAAAAACAGAGCAAAGTGTGAGGGTCTCTGATATGGAAATATGACCAACAAAAATGCTCATGGACATGAAGCAGCCTTTTGAGGTTTGGTTTGTGCAAAGAATGACGAACAACAGAGTGTGCTTTTCCTGCTTGTAAGGCATCGTCATCTAGATTCTGGTTATAGAGCGTCTTATAGGCAACGTCAAGACAAAATCTGAAAAAAAAGAGTGAACCGAAGGAGGTACATCCATCCATCCATCCATCCATCCAATCATTCATCCATGTTCTTCCACCTATATCCAAGGTTGGGTCGCAGGTGTATAGCAGCCTTGGTAGGGAGGCCCAGACTTCCCTCTCCCCAGCCACTTGGTCCAGCTCATCCGGGGGATCCCAAGGCATTTCCCAGGCCAGTTGAGAAACATGGTCCCTCCAGCGTGTCCTGGGTCTTCCTCTGGGTCTCCTTCCGGTGGGACGTGCCCGGAACACCTCACCAGGGAGGCATCCAGGAGGCATCCTAACCAGATGCCCGAGCCACCTCAACTGGCTCCTCTCGATGTGGAGAAGCAGTGGCTCTACTCTGAGTCTCTCTCAGATGACTGAGCTTCTCACCCTGTCTCCAAGGGAGAGTCCAGACACCCTGCGGAGAAAACTCATTTCGGCCACTTGTTTCCAAGATCTTGTTCTTTCGGTCACAACCCAAAGCTCATGACCATAGATGGGGGTAGGAACGTATGTTGACCAGTAAATTGAGAGCTTCGCTAGTTGACTCAGCTCTCTCACCACCACGACAGACCGGTACAGTGCCCGCTTCACTTCAGACACTGCACCTATCTGCCTATCGATCTCTTGCTCCATTTTTCCCCTCATTCGTGAACAAGATTTTTATCGCCTTAAAAAGTTAATCAAATTGATGGATTTTATTGGACTAACAATGGAAGGATTACAATCAAACTTACAGAAATTAACCATTTTATCTACTTCTATATTAATTAACACTTGGAGTTAATCTGATTTGAGATGGTTGTGTACAGATAAATGACCAAAGGAAACACATGGTATTAACTGAGTCAGTTTTACAGATATAGGACTAAAATTTGGTGTGGTAGTAGCTGAGAGTCATAGTCAACACATATCTTGAGCTCTACACATTGCTAAGGATATTTACTTCAAACTTTGGTGTTAACTGTTAGAACCAACCCTGTCTTTTTGTTAGAAAATATACCATGGATGGATTTTAATGAATCAGAAAGTAATCACTGATGCACTGGTCATTTACAACGGATTAGCTTTTGGAGTCATTTCATTTGTAAGATGATCACCACAGCTGGTTGACCTTTGCCCCAACATGAACTTCAAGCACCAACAGATTGTGCATAACATTATTTTCAAGAATTGGTGTGGACATGTGGTACATGTGGTGGAGCGAAATTATGTACACAGGGTCCCAGTTACATCCAACAATAAAATGTAAAAGATAAACGATAACATCTAAGATATGAACTAAGAAAAATTTCAACTAAATATACACTAAGCATTAATAGCGTAAAAACATTAAGTCGAACAGCAGCACGAACATGAGCATGAGTCTGTGTGAGCAGATGAGCACGCATGAACACCTCAACATGAAACAGATCAGCAACAACATGATGTGATTTTTTTCACATTGATTATTCTGGTTAGAGATTCATGAATCTAACAGCCTCAGGGTATAAGCTGTTCCTCAGTCTAGTGGTTCTACACATCTTCTGTGCAGCCTCCATGCCACACGTTGATGCTGGAGCACAGGATGCTCTCCACTGCACACCTGTAGAAGGAGGTGAGGACTGAGCTTCCCAGACCAGCTCATCTCAGCCGCCTGAGGAAGTAGAGTCTCTGATGAGCTTTCTTGATCAGGCTGGTGGTGTTGTTGCTCCAGCTGAGGTTGTCATTCATGTGTACACCCAAGTACTTGTAGATGGAGACCACTTCCACTGCAGATCCTCTTATGTTCAGGGGGGTGTAGGTGTGTTTGTTCCTTCTGAAGTTCACAATCATCTCTTTTGTCTTCTTCACATTGATGTGAAGGTTATTTTCTTTGCACCAGCTCTCCAGGTGTTTCACCTCCTACCTGTAGCTGAACTCATTGTTGTTTGTGATGCATCCCACCACCGCTGTATCATCTGCAAACTTTACAATTTGACTGCCTGGACGGGTAGCTGCACAATCATATGTGAGCAGAGTAAACAGGAGGGGGCTCAACACACATCCCTGAGAAGAGCCAGTGCTGAGGGTTATGGTGGAGGAGGAGAAGTTGTGGATCCTCACTAACTGTGGTCTGTTTGTTAAGAAGTCTAGTACCCAGTTGCAGATGGAGGGGCTTAGTCCTCGTGCGAATAGTTTGTCCATCAGGGTTTGGGGGATCATGGTGTTGAAGGCAGATGTGAAGTCCACAAAGAGCATACGGACGTAGGAGTTTTCTGCTCCAGGAGGTTGAGTGCAGTGTGGACCACAGAGGAGATGGTATCCTCTTTTGATCAGTTCTCACGTTATACATACTGATGAGGGTCCTCGTTGATGGTTGTTTTGATGTGAGTCATAACCAGTGTTTCGAAGCATTTAGCAACTATCGGGGTGAGGGCCACTGGCCAATAGTCATTCACACCAGTCACTTTAGAGCTCTTTGGGACTGGGATGATGGTGGCAGTCATCAGACAGATGAGAACTGTCACCAGGGTAAGTGAGGTGTCTTCCAGCACCTCGCAGAGCTGATCAGCACATTCCTTCAGCACTTTCCCAGGGATGTTGTTAAAACAAGGGTGTTCAAACATTTTCATATGTGGGCCGAAATGATCAAGATGAAATAACTCATCGGCCACAAAAATGTGAATTTAACTCTCAACTATCATGATCTGACTGTAGCGTGTTCAAACCCACGTGCAGGAATGGAATGAGGCTCCAGTAAAAACGTAAAAACAGTTTATTAATTAAATAAACAAAACAAAATGCTGACGGGGCAGCTAACTTACTTAAAGGAGGACACGAAGAGAAACAGGTCATG